ATTCAGTAGCTATAACTATGAAATAAGGCTTTTACCGTGATTATTCATTTATTATTTTTATTTGGAACAGGTTCATGTATCTCCGATTGTGATAATAAATCGCTATATTGCAAAACCCTTAGTTTAATTGTTAGCCGAATAAAAATAGGACTGAGTCACATCATAATAAAAATCAGACAAAGCCTAGTAAAGAAAGGTTAATTTCAATAAAAAAAATAATTATATAGAAATGATAGGACAAGTTATGATATCTAAACTTGCCATTGGTTCCTGATTTTATATATAAGGTCTGAGTCAACCTAACGTAGATAAACTCAATGCATATGTAAGGCTATAAAAAGTTGTCTGGGGAATATTAAATAAACTTAATATGAATTTTGTAAAATTAAGGAGCATTGTCGTGTAAACGTGACTGCTAAAGCCATTCGTATGTATATCTTAGCAGAATATGATGGCTGATTCCCGTCTGTATACGCTTGATTACGCAAAGGTACTTAGTTTGACAAAATAAAGGTAAAACAACGGTAACATTTTCCCATGTTAAGATATGAAAAGGATTTGATAAATTCATCTAAAGTTTTTAAAGCTTTGCTCGATATTAGTACGTTTACGCATGTGTAGAATACCCTTACAACCGTCTAAAGCATTATAAGAACAATAATTAAGAAATGTATAAAAGCAGGCCTAATTCCATGCTTTAATTAGGTAAGCAGATACATACCATCAATTTATGGGATGGTATTTACTAGGCTCCTAAAGTATATATTTAAGCAGTTGCATCGATTACATATTTTAAGTGTGTGTTTCAAATATAATAATCAATGCTAAATTTAATTCATATTTGTAAAGAGATTCTTGTTGATATGCCTTAATCAAATCAAGTAAAACTATAGAAGTTGTTTGATCTTGTTTTCGCAACTTGGTCATAATGTTAGGAAGACTAATAAAAAAACGCACCTTGTCCTGAGTCCATTGTATGCATAATTATTTCCAGAGTCGGATTGTGGACGTGGTACATTCCCAGACGTTTCGCCGGCATCGTAGTTGGCATCGTCAGTGAGTTTCACCATTAGTACAACACTATCTTCGGACCGTGGACGCGGTACATTCCCAGACGTTTCGCCGGCATCGTCAGTGAGTTTTACCAGTCGTAGCAACATGTTACAACCGTCAAAGAGACAAGTGAAGCCGATCCATTGACCAAATGTGTGCTAAACAGTTATGATATCTCCCGTTCTCACATTCCCAGACGTTTCGCCGGCATCGTCAGTGAGTTTTACCATTCGTAGCACTATCTTACAACTCGTCGGAGACAAGTGAAGCCGATCCATTGACCAAACGTGTGCTAAACAGTTATGATATCTCCCGTTCTGCCCTGGCCTATCACATTACCTATAACCTACAATCATGCCTTCATTGTCACAATATTTTACTTGCTTAATAAAATGTGGTTGGTGCCCTTTTTTTAGCG